GGGAGAGCTCCGGGAGGCTGGCGCCGGAGACGGGACGGGACGGGGAGAGCTCCGGGAGGCTGGCGCCGGAGAGGGGACGGGACGGGGAGAGCTCCGGGAGGCTGGCGCCGGGGACGGGACGGGGAGAGCTCTGGGAGGCTGGCGCTGGGGACGGGACGGGGAGAGCTCCGGGAGGCTGGTGCCGGGGACGGGACGGGGAGAGCTCCGGGAGGCTGGCGCCGGGGACGGGACGGGGAGAGCTCCGGGAGGCTGGCGCTGGGGACGGGACGGGGAGAGCTCCGGGAGGCTGGTGCCGGGGACGGGACGGGGAGAGCTCCGGGAGGCTGGTGCCGGGGACGGGACGGGGAGAGCTCCGGGAGGCTGGTGCCGGGGACGGGACGGGGAGAGCTCCGGGAGGCTGGTGCCGGGGACGGGACGGGGAGAGCTCCGGGAGGCTGGCGCCGGGGACGGGACGGGGAGAGCTCCGGGAGGCTGGCGCCGGGGACGGGACGGGGAGAGCTCCGGGAGGCTGGGGCCGGGGACGGGACAGGGAGAGCTCCAGGAGGCTGGCACTGGGGACAGGATGGGGAGAGCTCCGGGAGGCTGGCGCCAGGGACAGGACAGGACGGGGAGAGCTCCGGGAGGCTGGCGCCGGAGACGGGACGGGACGGGGAGAGCTCCGGGAGGCTGGCGCCGGAGACGGGACGGGACGGGGAGAGCTCCGGGAGGCTGGCGCCGGAGACGGGACGGGACGGGGAGAGCTCCGGGAGGCTGGCGCCGGGGACGGGACGGGATGGGGAGAGCTCCAGGAGGCTGGCGCTGGGGACGGGACGGGGAGAGCTCCGGGAGGCTGGCGCCGGAGACGGGACGGGACGGGGAGAGCTCCGGGAGGCTGGCGCCGGAGACGGGACGGGACGGGGAGAGCTCCGGGAGGCTGGCGCCGGAGACGGGACGGGACGGGGAGAGCTCCGGGAGGCTGGCGCCGGAGACGGGACGGGACGGGGAGAGCTCCGGGAGGCTGGCGCCGGAGACGGGACGGGACGGGGAGAGCTCCGGGAGGCTGGCGCCGGAGACGGGACGGGACGGGGAGAGCTCCGGGAGGCTGGCGCCGGAGACGGGACGGGACGGGGAGAGCTCCGGGAGGCTGGCGCCGGAGACGGGACGGGACGGGGAGAGCTCCGGGAGGCTGGCGCCGGAGACGGGACGGGACGGGGAGAGCTCCGGGAGGCTGGCGCCGGAGACGGGACGGGACGGGGAGAGCTCCGGGAGGCTGGCGCCGGAGACGGGACGGGACGGGGAGAGCTCCGGGAGGCTGGCGCCGGAGACGGGACGGGACGGGGAGAGCTCCGGGAGGCTGGCGCCGGAGACGGGACGGGACGGGGAGAGCTCCGGGAGGCTGGCGCCGGAGACGGGACGGGACGGGGAGAGCTCCGGGAGGCTGGCGCCGGAGACGGGACGGGACGGGGAGAGCTCCGGGAGGCTGGCGCCGGAGACGGGACGGGACGGGGAGAGCTCCGGGAGGCTGGCGCCGGAGACGGGACGGGACGGGGAGAGCTCCGGGAGGCTGGCGCCGGAGACGGGACGGGACGGGGAGAGCTCCGGGAGGCTGGCGCCGGAGACGGGACGGGACGGGGAGAGCTCCGGGAGGCTGGCGCCGGAGACGGGACGGGACGGGGAGAGCTCCGGGAGGCTGGCGCCGGAGACGGGACGGGACGGGGAGAGCTCCGGGAGGCTGGCGCCGGAGACGGGACGGGACGGGGAGAGCTCCGGGAGGCTGGCGCCGGAGACGGGACGGGACGGGGAGAGCTCCGGGAGGCTGGCGCCGGAGACGGGACGGGACGGGGAGAGCTCCGGGAGGCTGGCGCCGGAGACGGGACGGGACGGGGAGAGCTCCGGGAGGCTGGCGCCGGAGACGGGACGGGACGGGGAGAGCTCCGGGAGGCTGGCGCCGGAGACGGGACGGGACGGGGAGAGCTCCGGGAGGCTGGCGCCGGAGACGGGACGGGACGGGGAGAGCTCCGGGAGGCTGGCGCCGGAGACGGGACGGGACGGGGAGAGCTCCGGGAGGCTGGCGCCGGAGACGGGACGGGACGGGGAGAGCTCCGGGAGGCTGGCGCCGGAGACGGGACGGGACGGGGAGAGCTCCGGGAGGCTGGCGCCGGAGACGGGACGGGACGGGGAGAGCTCCGGGAGGCTGGCGCCGGAGACGGGACGGGACGGGGAGAGCTCCGGGAGGCTGGCGCCGGAGACGGGACGGGACGGGGAGAGCTCCGGGAGGCTGGCGCCGGAGACGGGACGGGACGGGGAGAGCTCCGGGAGGCTGGCGCCGGAGACGGGACGGGACGGGGAGAGCTCCGGGAGGCTGGCGCCGGAGACGGGACGGGACGGGGAGAGCTCCGGGAGGCTGGCGCCGGAGACGGGACGGGACGGGGAGAGCTCCGGGAGGCTGGCGCCGGAGACGGGACGGGACGGGGAGAGCTCCGGGAGGCGCGTCCCGGGGCGCCTCGCTCCGAGCGACGTGCTTGGCAGGCCTCGTGGGGGGCTGAGTTTCCGGCCACAGCGAGGAGTCTGGCTCCTGCACGAGGCGCCGGACGTGACTGTTCAGACAGAGGCCCCGCCATGCACCCAGGCTGCTCGCTGGGCGACTGCAGGAGCGCACCGCCTCCATCTCCAGCGAGCCCTTGCGCAAACCCAGACCTTTCCGAAGGCAGGGCACAGTGCTCCCAGGCAACACGACCGCGCCGGGCTCGCTCCAAAATAACCCTGAGTTCCCGGGCGTGTGAACACACACCTGGCCCCTCGAGCCCGGGCGGACGGGTTCTTGAGTCCTGCTGACGCCTCTTCGTGCACGCTGGGGTGCGCTGTCGTTACTGTTTGAGTGCTGGCTGCAAAGAAACCCGCAGCTTTTCCTTGGCACAGCTATTGCTTTGTTCTGTAAATGTCAGATTCATATTACTTTTATTTGCCACATGTGGTTGTGAATTAATTACGTTCCGCCACTGCTGTTTCGCTTTATGGCTTGTGTAAATGCAAATATTCTTTTAAGGGATTACAATAGTTATCATTTATGAAGATGCACTAAATTAAAACTATTGCCAGCTTAAAATGACATACTGCAAAGAGACATTTAATTAAAATGGATTCTGATACATTGGAGTCTTTTGTTGGCTCCTGTCAGCGTCTTTGCTCCTGCATTACAGCGTGGAGCTGGAGTCCTTTTCACCCCCTGCCGCTCGCTGTCTTTGCACTGCCGGCTCTGGTTATTTGTTGCTAGTGTCAGTGGTGTCACCGAGCGTAGCTGCAGGCCCTCGTCGAAGGCGCTGTCGTTCTGTCGCACCGCTTTTCGTCTCTGCCAGAACACACATTTCTACAGGCGCACTGACCCCAGGAGCGGCTGTAACTCGCGGGGATGGCCATGAGGTAACTGTCCCGTCGCTTGGGGCGACGGTCTGCTTCGAGTGCTGCGCTGTCCCGCGGTGGGGCAGGGGGCTTGTGCACGGATGGCCGTGCGCGTGCTGCGTGGGCCTGGCTGGTGGCAGCGTGCGAGCTGAGCGGTGCGAGGGCTTCGTTCTGTTCCCGGCGCTGCGCAGTGTCAGGGGGCTGGCAAGTGCGAGCTGCAGGCCTGATGCAGTGACTCGTGCACGCCTGCCGCGTGACTCCCCGGTGGGCGTGTGGGGCTGGGCGCCTAAGGCTGGAGAGCAGGCCCACGGTTTCTCAGGCTGGCTCTGCCTGTGATCGCTGGCAGTTGGCCACAGCAGCACGGTTCCACAAGCTGCTCTCGCAGACAAGGGAACAGCTGCCGTGCTGGACGTTCTGTGCAGCCCTGGTCCCACCCCGGCGGGGCTCGGGCCCGTGTCTTGCTGTGAAGTTCAGTCGACGCGAGATGGGTCCCTGTGTCCCCTCAGTCCTTGCCAGCATCCTCGCTCAGCGCTGGGGGTGCTCTTCTGGAGCGACCCATACCATGCAGGCGATTAACCATTGCAATTTTAGTCATCTAACCGGTTAACTAATTAAACAATTATTTACATCCCTAATTTTGATCATCTAGGCTTTTATTTGTTGTGAATGGGCATGCATCCCCCCGTTGCTTTTCCTTGGCCACCACAGGAATAGGGATGCTAATGGGTGATGCTTGCCAGGGAAGTTAACCAGTAACCGGGGAGCAGCCCCCTGCCCACAGCTCCAGCCCCCTGGGCACCGCGCCGTTGTGTCTCGTTCTGAAGGGCCCCTCCTGCAAAGCGCCCGGGCGAGGAGGAGCCAGAGCACCCTGCAGGGCAGGCTCCAGCGTGCGTCTGGCAGGCTCCCCAAGAAGGGGGCGGCTGGGCACTGATCTTACAGCCGATAACACTTAAGGGAAGTTGTCTCCCGTTTCTCCCGTTCGTGGCCTTCTCTCCAGTGCAGGCTTTTGAGATGGCTAGCGCCGGGGGGGGCTTTCACGCCTCTGCTGTGTAGTTTATAGAAGCACACGGCGCTGCGTTCGGGTTCCCCTCGGACTGGCGTTGCGATGCGGGAGATTCGCAGGCTCCGTGGTGCTCGGACGGACGCCGCCGCGAGAGGGGCTGGCGGAGAGTGTGTCTGGTGTGGTCACGAGCCTGTGTGTGGCGGGCTGCCGTGGGAATTCTCGCCCATCAGGCCGTGCGCTGGGTGTAGTCCTGTGACTGGGGGGGTCCGTGTTTCCCCGGGGCAGTTGAGTCCCTGGGCGGAGCGGGGTTCCTGTCTCTCTCTGGCCTGACGGTCTGAAATGCAGCTCTACAGCACGTCTCCCAGAGCGCCGCGGATTGTCCCCGTGGCGCAGGCCAGGTGCTGAGAACAAGCCCGGGCGGGGGTCATCTCACACTGGACCGGTACCTGGTGCCGTGGTGTTGCTCTGCGGCGTGACTGCCTGTCAGGCTCCGTGTTGAGTGCAGACTCTTAGGTGGACTGTTAATCCCTCGCCAGGGCGCATGGTCCTCCCTATTGGAACGCACCCAGGCCTCTGGGCTGCTGCGGCCGGGGGTGCGCGTGGGCCGTCTCTGGCCAGCAGGATTGGAGAGGTAATGGTTGTCTCCTCCCCGTCTCTTGCAGCCCAGTTCAACGGGAGCGAGAACCGGCAGTCTTCTCCTTCGCCTTCCCGCGACAGGCGCCGCCAGCTCCGAGCGCCCGGGGGCGGCTTCAAACCCACCAAGCACGGCAGCCCGGAGTTCTGTGGGATCCTGGGGGAGAGAGTGGATCCAGCCGTGCCCCTGGAAAAGCAAATGTGAGTTACCGCCGGAAAGGCTCTGGCTCCGCCTGGGGGCGGGAGACTGTCACCAGGAACCGGGTCGCCTGGGCTTCCCGGTGTGTCGTGCTGTGACACCCCCAGCGTGCACACCAGGAACAGTCGGAATGTCAGCCCCACAGCCGGACTCGCTAATTGTCGTGTGTAACTAGCGTGCTGAGAGGTGCCGGCAGCGGGGGGAGAGGGCGGCCCCCCCCCTGCCGGGGGCTGGCCGGTGTGACATTGCAGGGTGGCTTGTTCTGCACGCACGGCAGAGATTGCTTTTCCGCTCCCCCTCCGCACTCCTGGGTGAGATCGGACCGGTGCAGGGTGGCTTCTGGGCTCAGCTCGCCCAAGCCAAGCGGTAGGTTTCCGGCTCCCAGCTCCTCCCAGGAGAGCCTGGACGAGGCTTGCCCCCCTGCCGGGGGCTGGCCGGTGTGACATTGCAGGGTGGCTTGTTCTGCACGCACGGCAGAGATTGCTTTTCCGCTCCCCCTCCGCACTCCTGGGTGAGATCGGACCGGTGCAGGGTGGCTTCTGGGCTCAGCTCGCCCAAGCCAAGCGGTAGGTTTCCGGCTCCCAGCTCCTCCCAGGAGAGCCTGGACGAGGCTTGCCCAGAAATCGCCCCGTCTGCAGGTAACTGAGGGAAACAGCCTGGCCAGCTGGCTTCCAGCACCACTTGGGCCCCCGTTCCCCGCTGGCCCCACGTGGCCTGTGTCCTCACCCCGCAGCGGCTGGGAGCCGTGGCATGGCGCAGGCGAGGGTGGTGTGGGGAGGAGACCGGTTTCTGTGCCACGTGTGGCAAGTCCTGGCACGCAGCCCGTCAGTGGCCGTTCCGCTCGCTAAGGGGCGGGTGCTAGAGCTTCTTGGCCAGGGCTCAGCTGTGACCGCGGGAGCAGGAAGCTGTTCTCCCCACGAGCCCCTCGTCACACCCCAGGTCAGGCTCCTGGAGCGGCTGGGGCCAGGGATAGCTCAGTGGTTTGAGCATTGGCCTGCTAAACCCAGGGTGGTGAGTTCAATCCTTGCAGAGGCCATTTAGGGATTTGGGGCAAAAATTTGTCAGGGATGGTGCTTGGTCCTGCTGTGAAGGCAGGGGACTGGACTCAATGACCTTTCAAGGTCCCTTCCAGCTCTAGGAGCCAGGCAATCTCCAGTAATTTATTTATTAGAGCCAGTGCTGTGGGGTGGGGGCAGCCCAGTCCCGCACGGCAAAGCAGGGAGCTGGGGCTGCAGGTGCAGGGCGGGTTCCTCCCTCGCCCTCCTTCGTGATGTCGCTTGGCGTCAGGGCGCCCGGTGCCCCGTGGGGGAGCTAGCGCAGCACCCGGGGCGGAGGAGAGCGCCTGCTTCGCTCAGGCAGCTGGCCTGGAGCGGGAAGGCCCGTTCTCGTCCTGCCTCCTGGGCTCTCCTGCGCCAAACCCGTGTTTAGCAATCCCGGGGGTCCCCCCCCCGTTAGATCTGTCGTGTGAGCACGTCAGTTACTTGGACTGACCCTCCTCTCCCACGGGGGTGGGGGGCGGGGGGCAGAGACTGCCACCGTCCTTTCCTGCCATGTGACGGTGGCCCATGGACCCTTGCTGCTCACGTGCCCTCCAGTCGCCCCAAGCGCTGCCTGGGACTCCGCTAGGGGCGTCACGCACACCCGACGGACGCTCCCTCCTCCTCAAGGGGTCGCTTGCAGGGCGGTGGCAGCCGGGGCCCCCAGGGTCCTGAGAGGGGTGCGAGGTAGCGCTTGTGGCTGGAGACGTGGGGCTCTGCTCACTACCCCCCGCTCGCCCGGGAGCAGCAGCCTTCTAGGGGTGCCCAGCGCACGTGCGAGGAGCGTTCCCCACCCGCCAGCCCCCCCGCAGATTCCAGCGCTGACGCCATCTCGTGCTCTGTCGGTTGAGACTTGCTGACTCACGGCTGCGCTGCTTTTGCTCTTTCCCAGATGGTATCACGGAGCAATCAGTCGGACAGACGCAGAAACCTTGCTGCGGCTGTGCAAGGAGTGTAGCTACCTTGTCAGGAACAGTCAAACAAGCAAGCACGACTATTCTCTTTCCTTGAAGTAAGTACAAACAGGCGGGCACCCGCGCTCCAACAGGGCTTCCTGCGGGGCGGTTCGGGCGCTTCCGCGGCGGGATCCGCAGAATGCAGGCCGGTGAGTGGCGGTGCCTAGATCTGCCGTGGGGCGCTCGGTGACTTGCCGCGGAAAGATCCGTCCCAGCAGATTCCACGTGATTACCTAGCGAGGGTCAGAACCACGTCCCAGTAGACTGGACCCCCCGGCATCGTGGTTTGATGGAGTGAGTCTAGGTGCACTGGCCCGGAGACACCGGCAAGCGCCCGTCCGTTTGCCAGCGCCAGTCTGCGAGTTACTCTCCCGGGTGGCTGGCAGGTTAACGTGTACGTCTGCTGAGAGCTGTCTGGTCATCTCAGCCGAGCTCCCCCCACCTCCGTGTGTGAGGAGACACCAGAACCCCCCAGTCTGTCTCCCCTGCCGCAGGGAAGCCCCCCGGGCCCAGGCAGCTGGGGGGGTAGCAAGTCTGCAGCAAGCTTTGGCCAGCTCCGGGCGCAGGGGAGGGGCTGGGCCCAGAGTGCCCTGCAGGCCCGGCGGGGTGCGTTCCAGCAGCCCCGGGGACCCAGCGGAGAGCCTGCCCCAGCAGCGCTGCGTGGTTGTGGTGGGGAGTCCTGGCCGGGGCAAGGCGGCGCCTGAGCCCTTTGGCAGCTCCCCGCAGGCCGGCCGGCGTGGGAGCCCGGTCTCCGCTCTCCTGCAGGCGCTTTGCCCTCGGCTGAGTCGCCGGCGCGGGCAGGTCGGCTGTACACGCGCCAGGCCAGAGGTGCCCGGCCAGCCAGCACGCAGGTACCCGGCACCAAGCGTGTTTGGGGGAGCCACGGAACAGGCTCCACCTGCAGAGCTGACGGCTCGGGGGGCTGCCAGGGCCATCAGCGCGTCTCAAGCAGCTCCGCCCCCGCTCCCGCCGCACTCGCAGGCTGGCCCCCCTCTGCCGCTGGGAGAACACGTCCCGCGCGCTCTCCTGGAGCACAGACTCAGCCGCGGGTGGGGGGGCCCATGCGGGTCCCTGCAGCGCAGTAGCAGCTACCGCCAGCCCCTCGCGCAAGGGGCTGCACACACACTCGCTAGCGAGCCCTTGGCGATTGCTTCGTCCTGAGCCAGAATGGCCCCGGGTAACAGGCTAGTCCCTGCTGCATAGGGCGGGTCCTGGGTCCAGCAGCAGGGCGGCCTCTTGCCCCGCTGTCTCCACTGGCATTTGAGCCACCTCGGGGCACCAGGCCCTGGCTGGGAGGCTGGAGTGAGCTGGTAACCCTGGGGAGCGCTCGGGGGCGCCGCTGAGTCCGGGGGACTTGGTGCTGGCGATTCCCAAGAGAAGGCCCAGCCAGCAGCGTCGGGGCTCCAGGGAAACCCCCGGGCTGGCTAGCCGGCAGGGCAGCCACGAAGGGGCGGTTGTGGGAGTGCAGGGATCTGGGTGAGAGCTGTGGCCGTCGGCCCGGACTCGAGGGGAGTTGCACAGCCCATGGGGCTAGCGGGTTTAGCAGTCAGGTGTCTGTGCCGGAATTTCAGCAGTGAATTGGGGAGCTCAGGCGTGTGTCAGAGGGCTTCTGGCGCCCGTCTCGGCCGCAGGCTTGCGGCAGGGCAGTGATTGTAGCTGGGAGTGCAGGGATCTGGGTGAGAGCTGTGGCCGTCGGCCCGGACTCGAGGGGAGTTGCACAGCCCATGGGGCTAGCGGGTTTAGCAGTCAGGTGTCTGTGCCGGAATTTCAGCAGTGAATTGGGGAGCTCAGGCGTGTGTCAGAGGGCTTCTGGCGCCCGTCTCGGCCGCAGGCTTGCGGCAGGGCAGTGATTGTAGCTGGGGATCCCCCTGGCCTAAGTGCAGCAAAGCCGTGTCCACGGAGGGGCAGGCCTGGAAGTGCCTGGGTGCGAGAGGGAGCCGGGGGCGATGGGTGTGAGCCGAGCTACGCGCCTGGCTGCCTCGCACGGGGGCCAGCGCTCTGTGGGGGTGTCTACGTCCTAACCCCTTGTCACCTGGGCGCGTGCAGTGAAGGGCGGGGCGTTCCGCCTGGCTCTGCCAGTGACCCTGCGGCTGAGGTGGGTCCCAGCGTGCTCCTGCTCAGAGGGGGCGCGGTGGCTGCCCCGGCTGGCTAGCAGCCTGGCCCCCTTGTGCAGAGCTGTGGCTGGAAGGGGCTGGATACAGGTGCCTCTTACCTGGGGGGGAGCCCCTCCCTGGGTCTGGGGGGTTGGAAAGCTGCAGCCCAACCCTCCACCTTCCCCCCAGGCGGGCCAGGGAGGAGCTTGGTGACCACCCACCCCCTTGCCGGGGCTGCCCAAGGAGGGCCTGGCGTTCCTGGAGAAGGCTGGAATGTCTCCTCTCCAGGCCTGGCCCCTGGCTGGTGGCAGGAGGGAGCTGGCTCTGCCCGGCGGCTCTGCCCTGCAGCACGGCCCGGGGCGCTTGGGTAGGTGCTAATGGGCTCTCTCTCTCTCCCCCTTCGCAGGAGCAGCCAAGGGTTCATGCACATGAAACTGACCAAAACCAAAGAGAAATACGTCCTGGGCCAGAACAGCCCCCCGTTCGACAGCGTTCCAGAGGTCATCCACTACTACACCACCAAAAAACTGCCCATCAAGGGCGCAGAACACTTGTCCCTGCTTTACCCAGTGGCCGTCCGGACCCTCTAGCGCCAGCTTGGGCCCTGCAGTGGGCAGGAGGCACCGGCAAGCCACGGAGCAGGACGTGGCTGCGGTGACCAGAACTCGGAATTGGTGGCGAAGTGAAGACGCCCCGTCTTTCCTCTGCGGTGCATGCTGGCTGGCTGCTGCCCATCAAGGGCGCAGAACACTTGTCCCTGCTTTACCCAGTGGCCGTCCGGACCCTCTAGCGCCAGCTTGGGCCCTGCAGTGGGCAGGAGGCACCGGCAAGCCACGGAGCAGGACGTGGCTGCGGTGACCAGAACTCGGAATTGGTGGCGAAGTGAAGACGCCCCGTCTTTCCTCTGCGGTGCATGCTGGCTGGCTGCCCACCCCCGCCCCGTGG